ATTTATGGAAAATGAAAGTGAAAATGAACAATATTTGATTCTAGTTTCAACTATTGACATTTTAATGGGATTTGTATCCCCATAAAAAGCATCAGCAAAGGATATTAATAATTTAGGATAGTAAGCAGATGATTTTTTTTAAAAAAGTGGCACTCTAAATACATGGGGAATAAGTTTGCAATTACAGTGACCTATCTTGATGCCAAGGATTCTATATAAACAACAATTAAATCAAGAAACCCATAAAGAGCAATACAATTTACAATTCTGGACACATGGCAAAGTAAAACAAAAGTCCACAAATATAAGATCTGTCAACTATTCGATCTTGATGGAATTTTGTACTGATTATGTTTTCTTTCTCTTTTTCTAACTGAGTTCAGGAGATCTGATAGAGAGATCCAGTTTCAAGGATTTTCCATTGTTCTTTTGTCCACAGGCATCAAGAGCATCACTAACTAGATAGTCCATATATGAAAGGGCTACCACATACATGAGACAAAACTTTGAGTCAAATAGGCTACTAAATTGTTCTCTCATCAGCACTCAGGAGTGGTGATGTTGTTTGAAGAAGGAGAGTGTTTTGTGTCAATAATTTTTCTTAAAGATCCCAAGAGAAGCTTGAAAAAGCATTGGGCCAAACTACAAGTAGAAACTGTACCTCGTATGTTTACTGCAGCACTACTTACAATAGCAAAGACTTGGAACCAACCCAAATGCCCATCAATGATATATGGATAAAGAAAATGTGGCACATATACACCATGGAATACGATGAAGCCATAAAAAAGGATGAGATCATGTCCTTTGCAGGGACATGGATAAAACTGGAAGCCATCATTCTCAGCAAACTAACACAAGAACAAAAAACCAAACACCGCATATTCTCACTCATGAGTGGGAGATAAACAGTGGAAACACATGGACACAGGGAGGGGAACATCACACACTGGGGCCTGTCAGAGGGTGGGGGTTAGGGGAGGGAGAGCATTAGGAGAAATACCTAATGTAGATGATGGGTTGATGGGTGCAGCAAACCACCATGGCACATGTATACCTATGTAACAAAACTGCACTTTCTGCACATGTATCCCAG